CCCACGCGTAGTTATTGGCGATATGGACTCTTGGAGGCTGCGCTCCCGGGTTGCGTTTCTCCTTTTATATATGGTAGTGAAGATACCTAATACTCCCACCCCCTATTTCCCCCACGACAACCTTGTGAGGTGGGGGGGCTTAGATAGAGTGAATGGGCTTAATACTGTATTCTTTTTACATTGCTATCCTCTGGCTTATTTAATTTTGCCCTTGCTCTTTTTATCTTTGACCTTGATTAATTCAGCTGTTTATTCCTTAAAATCTACATACAAAATGGAAGGTGGGATATGATTCAGGTGTTGAATTGGGAAGGTGGATTTAAAAAGTATGTTTGTATTCCCCCATTTTCGCCCTCCCCACCCCTGCGCGCGCTCAGCGGGCCACGGTAAAATTATCAAAGGCTGACTGGTCCGCGGCGATAAAAAGGTTGGGGACCACTGCCATAGAGAAACTGGACTAGTAACTTAGTCCAAAAATGCTTAAGTGTAGTGGAACATAATATCCTCCCTTGGATCAAAAAGTTTGAGGATTGCATTGGAAGATCTTTGTCCAGTAACAGCAGCATATACACAGTGGGCCTTCCTTGATCCAGTGGCATGCATGACTATCCTAAATAAAGCTAGCCACTTGTTCTATTTCATTGCCATTAATGCTCCAGAGGAGCTTTGCCCTTTTGGCAAAAGCTATAATTTTGGTTTTCTGATTTATCATTGTTACAGTATTAGACCAAAGTTCTCAGAGCTCTTTTAAGACATATTGGTGTTCTGAAAAGAATTACAGTATAATTCTTTGCCACAATTTCCAGGGAAATTGAGAAACACTGCTTTAGAGCAATTGTTAAGAAATACAGTATCCACCAACAATGTTAAATAGAAAATAAGAAAACTAAATCAGATTCTGCACATTTACTGAGGTACATGTGACTTAGATAATTTCTGCACAAATATTGTCTTCTAGGATCATCAAACTATTGTTGTGCCAAAATATATATAGACAGACTTTTTATTACTTCAGGAATACATCAGAGCTATACTACTTTGATTTAAGGTTTCAATGTTCCAGACTATTATTTTAGAGCTTAAAACTAATTACTCAATGTAACAGGCATAGGAAATGCAGCATAATCAAAGTATCTGACCCCCACAAATTATTACCAATGGATTTCAAAGCAATATCTAAAGCATTATGGTAACCTGATTGGATGTGAGGAGGCCTTGCCCACTTTTTCCAGACATAGATGAGAATTATGTAAATCATAAACTTAATATGTGGCCTAAATATTAATTCAAAGGAAGTAAATTAGTCCTGAAAAAATATTAACAATGAAATGTTAGATAGGTACTTGGATTAAAAAAAATAAATTAACCTGACAGGAAAGTTATTTGCAATTGTCTTTTTTCCAACTTCTCTGTTAGCCTAAATCCAAAACTGTATGCCAGATCAGGAAGTTGAAAATCATGCAGAATAAGGTAATGGTAATCCACTTCCACAGTATTGCCAAGAAAACTACACTGAATAAGGTGTAACAATTATTTAGTATTGTAATTGGTTATTATTTTTCCAACATTAGGTAACAGAAATAACTTAAAAAATGTTTTACAGTTTCTTTCACCAACTCACTTATCTCAGTTGTCTTTAATAGTCCTACTGCCCTCTTACAGTATTATAGGAAATTTCTTCAGTAACCTCATTTACACAGTAATCTATATATTTAACGATCTCAAAAAGTTACAAAACCATAAGTGAGTTTCCAATAGCCAAAAAATGAACAGTTTCAGATTATTAAATATTATATATTTATTATCTTGAATTTCAGACTAAAGGCAACTAGTCCGGTGATTTAGAACATGAAAGGTGTATTCAGATGAAATATCTCCTTTACACTGTCAATTAAAATAAACTATGAAACTATTTTTTTCCTGATACATACAAATTAAAAGAATAGAAAAACTGCAGAGCAATTATAAATTAACAATTTTGCCCTGCCACAAGATTATGAGTAAGGGGCAGAAAGGCAGCAAAATAAAAGCTTCTCTGAGATCACACCTAATTAATTCTACTGCAATAAACTAGATTCCTCAAACTAGATATTCTGGAAACACATAATCCAATCAACAAGAAATGAGTAGGAGTTATGCATGTCATCCAATAAATTCCAAAGAAACAAGTTGAGGAAGGCTGTAATAGCCTATCACATTTTAGATTAAATCCATATTTTTTTACCACTAAAGCTCAGTAAATTCACTAAGTCTTACTATTATGTACACAGGCCTAGAATTATATCTCATGTGTCTTGTATAGTTTTGGATGCTGGAGAACAAGGTTTTTTTCTTAATTTAGACTTCTACATTTGCCAGGTTTTTGGGAAGGGAGGGCAGGAGACGATTGGAGAAGGATCAAAAGATGGGATGGGTATCCTGAACCTATTGTTTGGAACCAGTAGAAGATATCTGGAGGCATCCTTTGTCTTCTAATGTTTCCCTAATATTGACATACTCTTTCTATTCTTACTTCATTTAAAATGTTTCAGATGGTGTTTACAAATAAGGCTTTGATTTGCAAGCACCCTGTGTCAAATAGAGAACTCCTAAGTGTTCATGGGGAAATTTAAGGGCTTCAGTAGGGAAGGTTTCTAGCTCTGCCAATTAAAATATATTGTAGACTTTTTTAAAAGTCTTTTTTTAATTAATCCCAAAAAGAAAAATAAACAAGTAGCAGAGAAAGACAGGAGGGTTGCAAACAAAAGATTATGGCATCTGGACCTTCTGTAAAATATTGGGAACAATGAAAGGATTGTGTGAAAACATAGCCTTCCACTTGTAACCATTCCTGTTCTCACGGCTTCCTCTGACCTTTTTTTTCTCTTCTATTCGAGGGGGCTTCCCACGGAATTGCATCCCCAATACTACAAATCAACGACCATTGTGCAGCAACAACTCTTCTTTCTTAACTGGGGGAAAAAGATGAAGAACGAATGGCAAAAGACACAAGGGTTTGAAGCCGGAATATATCGTGTGAGCTATAACTGCATAAGTGGCGATCGCCCCGAAGCTTTCTTAAGAAGCAACGGGAAGAATAGCTGGCTACGCAGTATCTTTTGACTGGAAGCGCCAGGCGCCCTTCGTCTGGAAGCACCTCAACGATTGTGAAGTAAAAGCAGCGACGTCGGAGGGGGGGGGCAGCGAACAGCGGCCCTTGCAGGCGGATTAGGAACGGGGTATGGGCAGCAACGTCGGGATGGGAAGAGGCGGCTGAAAGCAACTAGCTAGAGGGCTAGGAAAACGGGCCTTTTTACGGGCTACTTTGAAAAAAACAAAAGACCCAACTTAGTCCGTGGAAAAGGCGGTGCTACAAAACGCTCGGAGCCGGACGATACCTAACTGGACTGTACCCCGTGCGGCTCACTTCCCTCCCAAAATGGGAGGAGTGGAAGCAGCCGCGCTAGAGGCTCACAATGCCTCCTAATAAAGACTGCCTGGGGTTCTTTGGCGGGAAATTGCCCCGGCGAAGAAGAATGGAAAGCGTTGCATTAAGAAGCTAACCTTTTCTCCGGTCACAACATGCAACCCTTCCCGCACTTTGGCGAAGGAGCCTTCTCCCAATTTCCGGCCGATAAGGTAGTTGCCGACCCGTTTGGTGTGCTGAAAATCTCGGATGCGCTCCCGGGAGGCCGAAGCGTTCACCCAGGCGGCCAGGAAAGTCCCCTCCGGACTGAGGGGAGGCGATGTGGGTTCGTCGTCGCTGAGGCTCGCCGCTGTGGGCTCGCTCAAAAGCCCGTCGCCAGCAGCTGCCGGCATCCTGCTCTTGTTGCTCTTGCTGCAACCGCGGCGTCCCGGATCAAAAGCTCGGGCTGCGCCTCTCCCCTTGGCCCCTTCCCGCAACTTGCACGCTCGCTAAGCCGCAGCGGCACCGGCGAACTCCTCTGCAAAGCCGCCTCTCTCTCTGCTGCTGCTGCTGCTGCTTGAAGTCTGCAGCACCCGCTTGCCAATGTGATCCGCACCCGGGAGTCCACGTGGGGAGTTGCCGGCGGCTGAATGATGGACTGAAGCGCTTTGCTTCTTGTCAATGAAATGATGGCTCGCCGAAAAAGAAAAAAACCCAAGGAAGCCGCTTCCCCGGGCGGCCAGCCTTGGCTTGGCCGAGATTCCAGGGCAGCTGCGACGACCACGAAGCTCCGGGCTCGGCTAGGGCGAGTAGCACAGCTACAGCGCTAAAGCCTTCTGCTGCTCACGTTGAAGAGAGAATCCGAGCCAGCTCCCGTACATCAATTGTCTCCTCCTTGGAAGCCAGTTGGCTGCCTTTTCTTCATTGGATCTGTCGATCACTTGTCCCCTCCCTCTTGTACCGTGCCTGACTAGCTGCCTCGCTCTCTCCCGGTGCCGCTGCTTGGGGCTCCTTTCCCCTCCAGCTGGGGAAGAGGGAGGGGGAATGGGGAGCAAATATACTTCATTCAAGCTGGATTTGCCGTAATGTAACCCGATCGCTCGGTTAGGGACAGAGATGTAATAAAAGAAATAATGACATTCGACAACGATCGAGATCTTGAAGTTCGGGCGAGTCCTCCCCGTTATTCCCTGCGCGCGCGCACACACACAACACACACAC